CAGGGAGCAGCTTCCACCGACGCTGCAGCAGAGGGAAGGCCAGCTGCTCCACGTTTAAAACCTACGCTGAAACCTACCCAGGACAAACGGAGGCTTTGAGATTCTAGTAGATGAAAGGAACGCGGAGTCCAGCCAAGTAAAGTAGGCAGGTGGAGTGTTTCAATTATATTTTACTCTTCATTAGATTGTTCATTTGAATGTTCATATTACAAAATTAGCTGCCACGGCCCACAAATGTATGGGACTTCAGGAAAGCTGTCCACTTATTTAAAAGAGCACAAACTAGCATTTCTTTTCAAAGAACTTTGTGAAACAATACCGTATTAATCTTTAAAGCTAAATAATGCTAAAATTTCACATAATCTACATTAGTTTTGGTTTTAAATAATTTTACCAACCATTATAAAATTAATGTATTTGCATGTACCAGGTTACAGACATTTGCATTTAAATCAGCGTGAAGTATCCCATGCTGGAACAAGTTTAAGCAATTGCTGTTTCAACAGCAGCTCATTCTTATTGCCTCAGAACCAAGTTTGCACAAAGTATTGGAACAGGAAAATGCAAGACATTGTTTCCCCACAAAATTATTAAAAGTCTGTTACAAGCAACAATAAAATGCCTTCTAGACAGGAAGCATTTATAAAATGCAGAGCTCTCAGTTAGTGAAGTGCTTGCACAGGGGCATTCACTTCATTCTCCCCATTTATATTCAAAAACCTGAAGTGATCATTTACCAGATGAAGAGGATACACGTCCTCTGAAATGTTTTTACTTGCTTGGGGAAATTGGCAATTGCAGATACTTCACCGAATCTAGCTTCTGGCTGAAGTGAACTAGGCAGCAGCTGCTGAGATCAGGAGAAGAAAGTTTTTGAGGCAAACTTGTACAGTTAAAAATATTCAAGGAAACCTAGTTGAAGCTGCTAACTCACCACGCGCTCGCTCCTGAAGAAACACCACGCTGACATTCCAGACTTCACATTGTATTAAGCGTGCAGCATTCAAAACCACAAGTAGGAAACTGTTCATGTATTCCATTCCCTTGTATCTAACCCATCTGTATGTTTTACAACATATGCCAATCGTGCCCACAGGTGACCTAATACTGTTTCAGTCCCTTGTTTGTTAAAAAAAAAAAAAAGAAAATAAAAATCTAGTCTATACTACTGGGCTTAAGTCCCTGAAGAATCCATACAGTGTATGGAAGGCTCTAAGTTTTGTGCCTTTACAAGCGTGATGCAAATAAATGCACAGTGAGTGTTTACTGTGCAGTTCTCCTCCCCTTAAGTTTTTTCCCCTTCCCTCCCAATAACTAAAACCAAAATTTAAAATCAAAGCATGAATATGTTACCAGCACACATGGACAGGTTTACAATCTTCTGTTTTTAAAGAAAAAATGACAAAGAGCATTCAAGAATATTGCAATTTTTTTTTTAAAACAGACAAGTAGCAAAAATTTATATCACCTGGAATAAAACTGCCGAGACAAAGCTCTTTACATACGCCTGCATGTTGCTGTAATACTTAAGTAACACCAATGCAAGGAACGTTTCTCTTAATGGCTACTAGTGTTCAAAGAAGTGTAGGATCATGGAGTTAAGTAGGTCTTTGTACCCTGTGAATTAAAATTCTGCAGGTGGCACTGAGACGCTTCTCACAATGGAGTCACATAGCTTTCACTTTGATTTGCTTCATCTTCATCTGCTTCTTCTCAAGTTTCTTCTGCTCACGCCGCAAAGCAGCTTCCTGTAGGCAAGGACAGAGATCTGAATGAACATCGGTGATTTCTTCAAAAAGCAAGCTGATAATTTCAGAAGAGCCAAACAAAAAAAGACCTCCAGTACTTGGGTTCACATCTCTTAACCACGTGAGCTGGCTCCTCACTGGGAGCCTTCACGTGTTTCAGAAAGCAACAGCATATACCCTGACAGTTGTCTGCCTTCCAGCAAATAAGAAATCAAAGTTGGCCATTGCTGGTATACCTACAGGCAGCCCTGGAGATATCGTAGGAGAAATTTGCCAGTAGCTTGTAACAATCTGAAAACCTGTCTCACCTCCAGCCGACGCTGTTTTTCAGGATCCTCTTCGTTCATGATTCGCTCCTTCTCTGCCCGTTTTTTCTCTTCTCGACGGGACTGGGCAGCCTCCTGTCTTTGCACATGAGTCAGTTTAAGGAAGTTCTCTTCCACGCGAGCCCTGTTCTTGTCAGCTTTTTGTTTACCCTTTTCACAGAGAAAAACAAATGCAGTTAATACAGATTTCCCCATGAGCAGGATGCAGTATCTCTGGTAGTCGTATTAGAAACATAAGGCTCCCAATCTTAAGATTAAGGATCCAATGGTAACGGTTGCAATTTTATACAATATTCAGAAGACAGAAAAATATACACTACTTACTTCTCTGTTCAGACGAAACTTCTTTGCTTTGTCAATAGAGTAGATAACCATGCTCATCAGAGGCAGCAAAGACTCCATGTCCTTTGGGGAAGTGTTGCCTGAACCAGGCACTGAAATAAAGAGTTTCTTGTTAATTCAGAGAGGTTGGCAGGATTTTTCTACTTACTATAACGCTCTTTCCTTATTGCTCACACCATTCATGAAAGACAGACGTTCTTATCCTCCTCTTTAGGAAGGACATAACTAACTAAAAGAGGTGTTTAGCTTTGGAGATCGCATTTAGATTCCTCACACAGTGACAGGCACATTTCCCCCACACAACCCTTCTTAGTTTTATTAGTACGGAATACAAACATAAGGGTTGAATTCAGGCTCTGACATTAGCTTCACTTGGAGCTACAGCCTTGAATTTCGAAGAGAACTACGGGCCTTTTCTAGAATAGACTCCCAACAGGCTGTTTTTATTTCAAACCAGGGTTAACCAAGTAACTCTGTGCAAGCTCAAACTGCAAGGCATGTGGCTTAAAAACAAGCCATCTTCCAGTGGTGACCTAATACAACCACCAGTAGAGATACGAGTATGGACTAAGATCAATAATAGCAAGATTGAGTATCCTAGTACCATGACGATATGCTGCTCAGTCCCCAGTGTTATTAGTGCCTTCTGTTTACTGGTTAATCAGTCACTGAAGTCATTCGTCATATGTTGTTTTTCATAGATGACAGAACTTGAGCACGTGACTTGCACAAAGAAAGCACAACACTCCCCCAGATACACGTACGCACATGTACACTAGTTCTCTTACCATTAAATGTAAACAAAAGTGTCTTTTTAGTTTCGGGCAGTTTTGTAAGCTGACCCTCCCTGGTAGGAAAGAAAAAAGTGGCTGGAATGAGTGAAGAAAAATACGGGCATACAAAATACCTCACGTTGTGAGGAAAAACCTCGTCAAGAACCAAGACACACTTGCAAACTACTCGAATAAAATAAACAAGATTAAAAGCCTGGCTGTAACCCAAATTTAAGTTTCAAACTATTCAGATTCCTGAAGTGTTTTATTCAAAAGCATGCAGTGAAGAGGCATTAATGTAAAAACATACTAACAGCACCATCCAATCTGATTGTCAGAGGTCATCTGAGCTCTGGCACCTGAGCCCTAAGAAGGCCTGTATATTTTTAATGACATTCAGTTTTACATATGCCACATTGTTTATACTACTACAGATCTTTATAAATATCAGTTAGGAAAAAAAAAAATATTTTCTAAAGAATTCAAGTCTTCACTGCCCAAAACGCCACAGTATTCTAATGTAAGAAAGTCAGACCTACATTTCACGGATCCTCCAAAGCCTAGCAATTTCAGTACAAGGTACACATACTGCTGTCTTATAATTAAATCAAAAGTACGTTCCTTTTTTTGGAGGACAGTTTCAAGTTTTGATATGGATCATTTATTTATATGCCTGTGAGCATGATACACCCTTGCAAAAACCTACATGGTAATTCAGGTAAGATAAATCACCCACCACTTGGCAATTCTGAAGCAGCAGCTAAAAGCACCTCAAGACTAGGAGGCTTAGAGAAACAGAAGAGACACTGCATCTATGTATTTCTGAAGCACAGCTGAGAATCAACCTGAACACAAGTACCCAAGCGATGGATTCAACAGCAGAATGTTTAGCCATATCAGCTAGGGAAGGGCAAGCAGCCTTGATGTTTTTTTTTTTACCCTGCAGACTTCGCTTAAACCAAGTTCTTGATGCGTTCAAATAGCATCCGAGTTAATGTGTTGAGTTCTCTTCCTGCAGTGTTATTTCTCGCCCCTTAAACTCTAAGATGCCGTATACCTTTAGTGGGATTACTCAGTTGCTTTCCATGCAGCTGTGTACACTGTAGCTGCCCAAACTATAGCATAACTAGCACACAAAAATAAATACTAAGGCAATACAGCACCTTGATCTTCTAAACTAATGCAGCATTTGGAAGCACTGGGTGTGTATTTATTCACCTGTTTCACCTTTGCTCCCAATTTCGCTTTGTGTGCATTCCAGCAGGCTTCACACTGCAAATAGGTTTGTCAGCCTCTATTTTGCTTAGTGTTACAATGGCTACTGGGAGGAGAGATCTAGCTTTATACGTACTCTTGCATAAGTTTTGGACCGGAGAACTGGTCCGAGAATTGGACGGACTCAATCTTGTCAGCATAGTGCGTGAGGAAATGTATCATCTAAAAGAGAAACTGGGGTTAGTTTTTCCCAACACCAATCCATCTGCAGCCTACCCACTCCATATGGGTTTGCCAAAGTGCCCATATATCACTCAGAAAATTGCTGTGCTCAGTTTCCCACAATGACACTGAAATTTAAACTGTCAATTTTTTTAGTTTTTGCTAGAAGGGGCCTCAATGCATGGAATTAACATGAGCAACTCAGATATTAGAAATATAAAACTCTCATTTGGGATTTTCCAATTCATTTGGTAACAGATGTCAACTTTGAGGACCGGCAGACACACCATCAACACCCTCCTTCAAACTGGCTGTTGAAGCTAACTTCCAGGCTTTGAAAGGCAGTTTTAAGTCTGCAGTTCACGTTAGACTAACGGTTGCTATGTAAAAGGAATAAAGAAGTGAGAATTACATCCTTCTTCCAGCCCTTAAGCTTCCTTAGGGTCTTGATTTCTCTAGATCTCACTAGGGCCATTTGGCTCTCCTGTTGTGATGTTTACAGGAGATAAAGATTAGAACTTCTCTGCATAGGCTGTAAGTGCCAGGGTTACCAAGGAAGATTTGTACTAATTCATTCAAGATTACCTTAGCGTCCATCATTCCCTCTGTGACCTCCCCCATCTCTGACAAGATAGCCAGCGAATCTGGAAGCCCATATTTTGCACCAGACTTAGGTTTATCACTGCAGAACTCACTCTGTTCCAAAGAAAACAAGGGGAAAGAAATAAAAATAAACACAAGCTTCTAAGTATCTTACCAGACTGAACTGTTCCAGCACAGTGGGACCCCTAAAAGTACCTGATAAGAAACAGTAACAATACACTAACTCAGTCACACAGCCTGGCTGGGGACATTTCAAGCATAAAGCAAAGCATGCAGTATCAATAGTCTTTAAGTTAGTATTTCCCTTCAATAGTGAGTACTTGAAGGAAAAAGATAAACCAACTGTAATACATCCATGCTGGAATGCTCAGAGTGGATTAAGGCATTTTGCTTATATTGTTTGGTAACAGAACAAAAACAACTGGCATCATACCAACCACACTTTAGTGCTGCTACTTGAGACAAGTTATGAGAAAAGATTTGCAAACCACTGCTTGTTATCACTGGATTCTTTGCAAGCTTCAGGGCTTGAACGTGTGGAAAGTTTTAATTTCAGATCACATAACAGCAGATGACTTAGACCCAAACTTTCCACGTCACATATCGCTAATTAAGTTTACTTTTCAATCCTTGAAAAAGTCATTTGTGCAAATTAAATGAGGTGAAGTGACACTCGTGTGTATCCTGACAATATACTTCAGCCTCCTCCTAAATGAACGATACACCAAAAGGAAGATGTAAGCTGCTTTCAATTGCCCTTTTCCCGCAGTTCCGACAGCAGCTGGCTAGCACTTCAGATGTTTGATGGCATTAGACTTTCATCCATTAGATGAAAATGTCTTTTCCCCACATGCTGATTCCAACAGGCCAGTCACAAGTTTTCAGCTGTTCCCAAGAAAATAAGCAATCTACAGATCACAGGTTCTTATATCCCATTATTTATCACATCAGTATTCCCAATGTGAACATACATACCAGGTCCTGCATCTCTTTCTGAAGTCGCACCAGTGCTTTTCTTGTTCCAACAGCAAACACATAGGTGTCCATATCTTCATCATTCATTGTTACTTTTATTTGCTGTGGGACAGAATGTTATTAGCCTTGATCAGATTTATACGATGTACTCTGCCTTCAGACTACTGGCCAAATGGAGACCTATGTCTTCTATGGTTTGTCTGACACTTTGATTCATAAGAACGAAGACTAAGCGAGGCCATACACAGCTAAGATAAAGGTTGTTGATTTAAAGCTTCTCAGTGTGTCTTAAGGTAAGGCAGCTTTTTAATTTTATTGAGTACTCCATTCAGTATTCTGGTATAACGCTACAGTGTAATGACAGTGACTAGAACAGCAGAGTTGTAAGGCTTACTTGCAGTGCAGATATCCATTACTTATGAGCAACTGCCCACATCTAAATTAAATCGTTTTTATAGACATAAGTAAATACAATTATAGATGCATGGAAAGAGTATTCACAGCGCACGCAGCCATTGTTCTCCCAAAATGTAACCTCTCTTGGCATTTATGCGATTAGAGATCCCCCTCATCTCCAAGAGCAAGGGCCAGGCAAGAAGTAACGTTACAGGATATAATATCCAGGCCAGCGTATGCATTAAGCAGCTCTGTTCAGGCAGACTGAACAGACAGAAGAACAATCATTAGGTATTTCAGATCGTTAAACCACTTTTTAATCAAGATGGTCTTGATTAAAAGGTGGTTTGAAGCAGGTTTGAAGACCTTGATAAAAGGTCTTGAAGCATGATAGACTGTTCACAAAACCACTCAAACAATAAAACCCATAGATAAAACAATTTCCAGTCATCAGCAGTTTGCGTTTCACAGGCAGAAAAGAAATACAAATTATTCTTTCTGATTGCTTCAACAGTTACTGAACTGGAAGATATGGAATACTACAGAAAGACACCTAGCCGTTCACTTGTGTGTCGTAAGAACAATCAAAAGCAGTAGAGCAGAACTGAAGGAATGCAACAGTTTATCACAGCTAATCTGAAGGGCTGAGTACATACCACTTGGTCAGAAGCTGGCCTCATCATGCGCGCGAGAACATTCAGTAGGTCTTGTCTCTTGAGAAACTAAAAACACAAGTTTGTAAACGCAGAAGATAGCTAAATACACCTCAAGTGCAGCACTTTGTTGGCAGATAGCAGTGGGGCTCAAGGAGAAAGAGGACAGTTATAAGTAGATGTTTTTCATAGGATAATTTAGCTTTGCAGAGCCCTTTGGCAGTCACCTATACTGTTCAAAAGCAGGCCTACTTTCTGCATTAGATGAGTTTCTCAGGGCCTTGTACCCTCAAGTTATGAGCTGAACCGATGTGTGGGGCTGTTCCATCCCAGGTGCAGGACTTTGTATTTGTCTGTTGTACTTCATTGGAATTCCTGTTGGTCCATTCCTCCAACACGCCAAAGTCCCTCTAAATGGCAGCTGGGCTCTTCAGCATCCAGTTACCTCTGTTTACGCTATGCTTCCAGTTTCTATACTCTTTCTGTAAGCATTCACCCTTACCCACTTTGATGGGCAGAATACAGGCCTGTACAGATCTTTAGTCTGACCAGTCTTCCCTTCACGTGTGCATATTCAGAACCCTGTCTCTGAACGTGAGCAAGAGTCGAGCTAGGACTCCTTGTTGCTCACACTGGAATGGAAAAGCTTCTAGAACCTGAAAACTGGTGACAGGTAAACAGTGCTACAAACTCACTCATCCTTACCTTTAGCTGGATGAGCATTCCTTCACAGCACACCCTTCCAGAGCACCACAAGTTATATATGTGTTCATTTTCTTGATTTAGTTTCCCAGTACTTGTAGCTTCTTTATTAGTGCCATCATCCCCTGAAGAAAACAACAGTGAAAGAGAACTGCAGTCTAAAAATCACAAATTTAAACACCGACGTTCATCAGTAGCCTTAGAGCTCAGTTGTTGCTGGATTACTTCAGTATCACCGTGATGTTTCTGAATAATTGATACTACAACACCATAATCTAATTTCAGCTCTGGAAGACTGGCACACTGTCTACATGCAGAGCTGTCGTTAGTGCCATCATGCATAGGAAAGGTTACTCTTCTCTATAGCCTACACGCAGGTCTAAAACCAGCTTTAGTCAAATAAACTAAAAATGGATCCTAGTCATTACGGAACTCACCAACAAGAGCAAAGTTACTTTCTAGCAGCTCCCTGTGAGTATTGAACCATGCATGAGCCAGACGGTTGTTTTTGTTCTTCCCAATGATGTAATTCATGATGTAAGCAAGAAGACCTGTTACCATCAGGATCTCCATGTAGTAACTCTCCCAGCTGTTTTGCAGGTGAGCAGGGACCTACGGTAAGTGAATGGAGACTGGTTTTTACATATTGAATGGGTGGATTCCACATACACAAACAATTTGGAAAACGCAGAGTACTGGAGAAGCTTCATCTCAAACACAGCAATAAGCTTCACAAAGGCGACAGGACAGAGCTAAGCCTACATAATGCATTTGGCTCTACTGGGACACAGTAATCATACAGGAAACAACTGATAATAGCATTCCCAAAATACCTGGCTAATACAAATAAAGTACTTCTCTCTTCCAAGTATGCCTGTGCTAGCATGTATCCCTCAGAGCAGTCAGCAGCCCAGCATTTCAACCCACTGATTATTTGAGCTTGAGGCCCTGCCCATCACAGCATTATCTGATCATTATGTAACTTCTGCTGAAATCTAAATACCCAATGTCCAGGAGCATTTTCAGGATGCCACCAAGAGCCACAGACTGCGTGGGGGAGCAGGGAAGCCTGCCTGACCTTGCCATCTTCAGAGAATAATTAGCCGTTCTGCTATCACTGTATCACCCTTCAGCCAGAAAAGTACCCAAACCTTAATTTCCACCAGCAAGGTCAGCCACAATACTTAGGGATAATAAAAATGCAGGCCTCAAGCACCTGATCATTCCGTAAAAGACTCTCTTGGGAGGCAACAAGAAGGTCATGCAGGGTGGACAGAGAGATTGGCTTCAAAAACCATCAGAGGAGTCAATTTCTGATTTGAAACTTTAGCCACAGACAAGCTAAAAATACACTATGTTTATTGTAAGCACATCATCATTGCAACCTCTTCTTTACGTGTTGACAAAGCACTCGGACATTCTGGGATGTACAGTTTTTCTCTGGATTAAATGGAGCTCATCACTATAGTTCCTCCACTTCTCCCCCATAGTCATATGGGTAAAAGAAGCTAAGTTATAAAACGCTTTGGTCAAAACTATGTTTCAAAAGGTCTGTTCTAATGAAGAAATTTCCTGATCCATATTCCAATTACAATTCTCAGTTTGACTACAGAATAGAGCATTGATCAAGGATGGCAATTCCAGCAGCTTAAAATAGAGATCAACAGACCAAAGGCGCCTGCCCTGGAAGTTTTACTTCAAGAGTTGCTATTTAAAGTCGCATAAACCAATGCAGAAGAGCATGGAATTGGGAGCTGGCACACCTGGATCACATTCTGCTGCTATCCTGTTGCATTATTTCAGGTATTTCTTGTCTCCACACTTCTTCCCATTTCTGCACTGTCTCTTGTTAATTCAAATAGCAAATTCTTTAGGACAGATTCTCTCTTACGTGTACATCGTACACCAGTGACATTACTGGCATGCCGCCTTGAAAAAAATAAGTGATGAAACACCAAATAGAAAGCGGATCAACATTTATACCTACATTAACTATTGTTATGGGGTCTTTATTTTTGCTAGGAGATGCATCTGGTTTCTCTTCATAGCCTTCAAACTCCTCATCATCATACGGTTCACTCTCAGTATCACCTTCCTAAAGGACAAAATCACAAACAGCATGAAAATCCAAAGCCCGGTAGGCAAAATCCAAAACGATAAGGTGAGAAAGAAAGGTGTAGAGATACTACTAGGAAACACATAGGGGAAGGAGGTGAGGCACTACCTGTGCATCTGCGTCATCAAAGTCTTCCTGATTCTCATCCTGACCTTCAAGCTCTACAGTGGCTTCTTCTTCATCATCTTCTGTAGTGATGATCCTCTGAGGAGACTCTGTGACCGCATCTTCATTAACATCTTCAAACTCAGCAAAGTCATTATCATCATATTCCATAATGTCATCTCCATCCTCAAATTCATCATACTTCGCCAAAGAAAAACTCCATGGGATGAGCAGGACAGCAATAAAAATATATAAATTCTTCATTTTCACTGGGGGAGGGGGGAAATAAAAATCAAACATTGCAAGAAATCTTTATCAATTCTGTTACATCACACCTCCAGTAACGCCCAACTTCCATGAACAATTTAAAACCACTATCAGGGTCAGACCAGTGAGAGAAACAAACCCCTGCCTGATCTTGCCATTTTCTGTGTAAAGAAAGTGAATACTCTTACAAGAAAAAACCAACTTTGAAGGTGAGGTTCTAGGCTCTCTTGCTTGTACCAGCAGCAAGTTCACATCTGGCCAGGCTGGTCAGATGAGCAAGTTCTGGAAGCAGAGATGTTCCGCTATAAAGCTGACTCTCCAATAGCATCCCTCAGTCAGTTAGCATTGCCAGCTCATTTTGAAGACCACACACTGTGCCTACAGTTGTTACTAATTAGCAATTAGACACAGTCACATCAGTGAATGTGTAACAGCAGCAGTAAATCTTAAAATGCACTTAACGCATTTACTTTAAACGGCAATGCTCCGATAGCCTCTGCTAGTTTAAAAGTGCTCATCTTTGATTTTCTAGACTGCGTGCTCAGAATCGGGTCCCACAGCATCCCAGCACGATTCCCATTTAGAGATGGAGACCTTTTGTTGTTAGCTTTACCAAAAAAAAAAAAAAAAAAAAAGAGGCTGGATATTGCACTGATCCCCAAAACAACAGAGTAAACTGGGGCTCATGAGACTGAAGCTCTCACCGCAGATCTGCCAGAAACCTGCAGAGACAGTTTGTCAGTTCCCTTTTTTTTTGCCCTCAGCTTCCTATGTCTCTTCTGCTTGATCTCAAAACAGTCCCGGTCTCCCACTCAGACTGTACATCACCGAGAATTATACGTTACCAAGGTCCAAACTAAGAGCCTCAAAAGGCAGCAGTAACCCTACCACTGCATTTCACAAATAGCTACGGAGGATCGGCTGCATCAGACTTGGCAGTAAGACTCATTTTACTCCCTCCCGCAACCAGATCTGAGTGGGAACTTGAATGTTAATGAGATTATTCTCTTAAAAACTTGAAATAGAAACAATTTGTTTCTAAATTAGACCAGCACTCCTCCGAGTACCACATGCAGGGAACCCACTGCTACGAATGACAAGGACAGCTAAAATAAACGCCTTTGTCAAAGACTTCTCATTCTAGCAAAGACCTGAACAGAACATGTTCCCAAGAACATTAAACAAGATGGGAAGTACAGCAAGGCAGAGCCCGGGAATTTAGCACGTTGTCTGGGTTTGTCGCAATTTTATGTGAATTGAAACAGAAGAACACCACAGCATTTACATATGACAGAATTTGCATTCAGAGGTTAAAAACACCAGGACAACAGAGCCACCTGCTCAACCAAACCCCAACAGTTTCACAGTAAGAATTTCGAGACTTGGAGCATATCCACTCTCAACAGACCCTACAACTCCATAAAGCCTTATGCAACACAAACTTCTGCAGCCGATTCCAAAGAGACAGTTGAACTAGAGATGGCTGAAAACTGGAACACGCTCCTAACTCAGCCGTCTCCGTCGCAAGGCAGAATGGGTTCTAGGTACAAACAACTCCACGAAGCAGAACATGCTTTGGCAGGCCTGCCACGATCCACATGCCACCGGCTTTCCCTTGCAAGAGGAGCCGATTCATCCACCGACCTCCGCACAGGCGAGAGGGAAGGGAGAGGTGCTGGGCCCCAGCAGGTCGGGCCCCCACCGTGACCCACCAGCCTAGAAAGCAGGGACACCCACCGCAGGTGCTGCTCGGCGTCCCGCCGTGCCGCGGATCCCCTCGCTCCAGGCACACGCCTCCGCTCCCAGCTCCTTCCAGGGACACAAGTCAAGGTTAGCAAGCCTAAAATTAGCTCCTGGGTTCCCCACTGCCCCGGGGCGCGGGCCCCCCTCTCCTGCCCCGCAC